TTTCGATAGAAGAATCTGATGATCAACAGTGTCAAAGGCTTTCTTCAAATCCAGAAAAAGGATGGAAACGAAGTGGTTTGGAACGAAGTGGTCATGGAACGAAGTGACCGGATACCTCAATGTCATATGCCCAAGAATCTGTCGCTTCCAACAAAGCTGTTACAATTGAATGATCAGCACGAAAACCTGACTGATTTTGACATAGAATATCGTGCTCTTTCAAATAGGCATAAAACTGTTCATAAACTATCCTTTCAAACGCCTTCGCCACAATTGGAATCACCGATATCGGGCGGTAATTGTTTACATCACCGCGGTTACCCTGTTTATAAAGAGGGGAAACCCTTGCATATTTCCAGTCATCTGGGAACGTCCCTTGGTTAATAGATTGATTGAAAATATCACATATCGGCACACAAATAAGATCAGCACATTCCCTGACCAACCTAGCAGATATTTTGTCAAGGCCCGTTGCCTTTGACTTGTCTAGTTTATTTAAAAGTGAAAATACTTTATTTGGATTGATGGCTTGGAGCTTAAACCGTTTATCTGTAGCGGTAAGATATCTTTGATAGCTACCACTATCGCAATTTATCTCACTGGCAAGTTTTGGACCAATATTAGCAAAGTGGTTGTTGAATTCGTTTGATAGCTCCAACGGATTAGTTATCGTTAATCCGTTCACTTTTAGTGACGCCACTGACGTTTTCCCAGATTTTCGAGAGGTTAGCTCGTTTATAGTCTGCCAGGTCTTTCGGGAGTCGCTGGTGTGCTTATTAAAACTATTTTGGTAATAAACTAGCTTAGCTGAACGTATTTGCTTATTGGTTATATTTCTTTGTTTCTTAAATAATGCCCAATCATTAGGATCATTTTTCTTGCTAGCTTTGATTTTTAATATGTCTCTATTATGCATAGAGTCTTTCAATGCTACGCTCAGAGGCTAATGCATCCCACGAAATCGCTTTTAGGCCTCTTGTTGATCTTTCATTCCCTAAAATGAATGGGCCTTTGTTAGCGAGTGTTCCAAAAAAAAGCCTATTCCAGAAACGGAAATTGTGCATCGCTGTGATCGTCGAAGGTCATTTGAGAGACCGGGCGAGAATATTCTTGAAATAATCGCATTGAAACTTTCGTCGTTTACCCAGATAAAGAGGTAGCAGTGTGGTTAATTTTCACAGAACTACCCAAATTAACTTCCCCACTGCTAATTGTATCTCACAATATGATAGTTAAAAGCAAAATAGGGGTAAGATCGATCGCGTGATTATTGAAGACAAAAATTAAAATTGCGCGCGCATTATCTATAAGTTTCTTAGTCTTGAATATGATACACCATCTCCCTCAAACCGCAATTAACCTCTTCGTTCCTAGTATTAATAGAAATTTATTCAAACAGAGTTCCTCATGAGAAATCGTTATGATTTGGCATATGTATCAAAAGCTGTAAAACAGAACCAGCACCCAAGAATTTCATGACAATAGGAAACTGATTAATAGCTAGATAAAAAAAATTAACTCAGTCTGCCGCGGGTATTTTGCGAAAAAAGCAATGGATTGTCCACGTTGTTGTGGTCGCTCAAAAATGTTTGTCTGAGAGCAAGAACACAGTTGGTCCATAATAGTCCGACCTAAACTTTCGTCGTTTCTTTGGTAAAGAGATATTTACCTAGTTAAATTTTCATATAACTATCCTCTAATAGTTAGACGCAAAATGAGAATAAAATTGATCCCGTGATCATCGAAAACAGAAATGGAATTGTTTTCAGTTTTCAGTCATTGTTTTCAGTTCTCGAACACAATGCACAAGCGAATGAAGTCTGCGTTTACTTGAATTATCTTTTCCTTTTCGATGTAAAAGTGTGCGAGTTTGTTATCTGAACTACATATTCAATAGTCACATGCTTGGCTCAGACGAAAATTTAAGTTAATTGTTTTCGGCCTGTAACGATAGCTACTTTGTTCACAGATAGCGTCGCCAGCTTAACAGGCACAAAACTGACACGAACTGTATACTAACAGTTAAAAGTGTATTTCAAGTCTTACCAGAAAGGAATGTAGCTTTCATTCTCTGTTAATATACCTTCTGGATGATTTCGAATGTCATGAAGTCTTCTTCCTTTTCGATGTCCGAATTACTCTGTCATGTCGTTCATGACTAAGCCACTGCCACTTCCGGTGCATGTGTACGAGTCTCAAAAGGGGGGGGGGGAAAGGTAAACATTCATGGCCAAAGGCCAATTTGTCGGAAAATACTTCTTCGATGAGTCTAAGTTAATATTCATTGGGTAAAATGCCAAATTTTAGTGTCATTTAAGTAAAATTAAACAACTATTAAATCCAACGACAAATTTAAGCCATGTTTACTAAACTTAAACATGACTTTAAACTGTACCTTTGTTTAAGCGAGGTTTAAGCATTCTTAAATGCAAATTAAATCGACATTGAGATTTAAGCTACGTTTAAGTCATTTTAACCGTACTTAAATCCGTTGAAATATTTAGGGTTACTTTAAACCACATTAAATATAACGTTAAACCTATTGGGGAGATTTAAGGTCTAGTTAAAGGAGCCTTAAATACAACATTAAATTTATCATAATATTTATGCCGTGTTTAAGGACCTTCAAAACACATCAAATCTTTTGGTGTACACCAAGTCTACTTATTGACATAATCTCACACCAGAACCAGAAACCATGCGAGAACAGCCTCCAGCAACCTTCAATGAATTAATCATAGATTAATATTATGTATTTAGTAAAGCCACAATATTTCACGCTACTGATTTTATTGCTTTTTCAATTCTTTGGGTAATGAAATTGTTTGTTGATTGTGAACCTGTGACTTGATTTCTTGTGTTGGAAACTGTTTCACTAAAGAAAGGTGGTTGTACAGGGAATTTGACTAAGCTGAGCAAATAAGGTACGTTTCTTCAAAACCATATAATTTTAGTATATACCAAACCAGTGGATAGTGTTTTTCGCATGCTCTGATTGGCTACTCAAACTCAGGATAGTACATGCATGTGCTATCCACCTCCCAGCTTAAGCTGAAGTGTGAAAAACTTTTTTTGCAGTGTTCTGAGATATAAATTTATAATTCTTTTATCTCACTGGTTTGGTATATACTTCACGGCTCATTAAATATCCACCACCACTATGGGGAATAATATTTATTGTTAAATATATTAAAAACAACAACGACATGTGAATGTAGATTGATGTTAATAACTGGCTAGTAAAATAGTGGCACGGCGTGGAATAGGGCAAACTGCCATGAGTTTTACATTGTCAAGAGTTAAATAAGTTCCAGTAAAAAGACTGTGTATCCTATAAACAGGCAAAAAGTAGCTCGATGCTCTAGGTTCAAAGTTATTTGCGTCCCACACACAAAGGGTATTAAAACTTCCCAAGCATTGGTTCCAGGGATGCTTCTTGAACCACCGAACACAAGCAAAATAATGCTCTCTTTCTGTGCCATTGACAGTTAATTTGTGACACATGAAGTAATCAATTATCCCAGGGGATAATGGAGATGTTGCACTAATCAGTCCCTCAGCACTGTGCCAGGAAGCCAGTACTTTAGCACTCCTTAAAGTTCTGGACTCAGCTTTGGAGCCAAACTTTTCTGCACCAAAAAAATGGTTGAAAACTTCTTTATGGTGAAGTGAAGATCACCAATGTCAATGTTCCTTTCTTCTGGATACAAAGCATGGTAAACAATTAACAATTTAGCAATGTCCACTGATGTCAGCAGGTCAGTTTGGTAAGAAGCAGGGACTCTTATATTGGTATTGTCATACCACAACACATTGGCAAAGTTGGCTAGCTGAGACAATAAGTAGTACTATTGCACTTTACTCTCTGTTGATGCAGTGGTTCTTTTTTCTCCCCATCTATCAAAGATTGGCAAGAATTCTTCATGGTAAATGGTTGGCAGATTTCCTGCAGATGGCATTAGATAGTGCTCCTTCAAGAAGTCTCACATAAACTGAATTTCCACCGAACGATTGTTAGTTAGTGTGGATCTTATTTGTCCATTGTAACGTTCAAATGAAAATAACCAAAAGCCAAATACTGGCCCATAGTCCAATAACACAGAATGTAGGTGGCAGTGAAGATGCATGTTGCTAGTCAAAAATTGTTTTCCATACAATTTTTCCATCCCTGTACGGAAGTTCACTAGCAGAGCATCAGCTTTCTTAATCTCCTGCTTGGTGATAACTGGCTGGCAAAGAATTCTGCATGCCAGAACAAATCTCTCCCAAACCCGGAGGTGGTTGTCTGGAATAATTCCATAAAGAGCATACATGGAAAATGTCAGAGTCCAATTCTTCCATTCTTCAGCTGTATAGTTCCCATAATTTGTTCCTATTTTCCATGGAATTCTCCCGATGGATGTTGCTGTATTTAATTCTTCAATCTTCTTACTTAGTTCCTTTAGTTGCCCCTTGCTAAGTACATTCTCAGCCCAAAGCTTAAAGACATACTTGGAAGTTCCAAGAAACAAATTGTGCATTGGATTAATGACATGAAATTGAACACAGTCAAAGTATTCAAGTTTGCATAATGCACTGTAGTGGACACCATACAAGCGTGACAACCGGCCATATTCAGACTGGCTCTTAGCAGCTTTAAGCCTTTCACAGTTCCTGTTATGACTCACTCTGTCCCTCTTGGGCCATGAAAGGCGGTCCTGAAATCCTGAGAAGTCCTTCTTTTCCCCAAAGCCTCCAATGAAAAGCTTAAAACACTTTGAACATGCTCTATTTGCAGAGTGTCCCACAAAGCCACAGGCTTTACGTGTCGCAGGGATGTCTGCTGCAACACAAAGTAAAGCAGCAATTACTCTAAGTGGAGCAGAAGAAAGGCTGGTGGACATTAAAACTCTTCTCCACAGTCCATTGAGTTCATCCACACATGGATCTAAAAATGTATGCAACTTTGGCTCACTCTCCAGAGATGGGATGATTCCTCCCAAGATAACATTCTCAAATTTGAATCTTTGAGACTGAGGTAAGTTCATAATAACAAAATAAATAACACCAACAGAATAATCACTTCTTCATTTAAATGGTTGGAACCAATCCACATTTAGCATAAGTCCATATCGGTGCTCCAGATTGAAGAAGTGACTACCATCTTTCCACTTGAAATTCTTCCACACTTCTCCATCATAAACATCACTAAGCACAGACTCTTCAACTTGCCTTGTTCTCCACTGTTCACAAAGTTCGGGAATTCCTGTTCTTTGCAGAATGCTTTCTAGTTGACTAATAATGCTCTTCCAACAATACACTTTCAAAGCATAAAACTTAGTAGCACCATTTTTGAGGATAACTTTATTGACAAGCTTACTTCCACAGTGCTTTGCTTTCCCTTGGGGAAACAGAATGTTACTGCACTTCTTTGAGAGAATCGTTCCATATTTTCTTTTGAGGCATTCATCCAAATGATACAGCTTTGCACATTTGGAGCAGACAACAAATTTTTCAAATTCATCCCTCTTCAAATTTGAAATCCTATGCAACATGTAGATGGTAGTTGAAAAAAGTAGCATCAAGTTACTGAAAAACTCAGAGTCCAGTCCAAAACTTAAGGTCTGAAGAAACCTTCCCAAAAATGCAAGAAGCCACTCCACAGCTGCATCACTTACATGGGTAACAACCTGCCAGTACATGATGAAACAACAGAGCCATTGAATAAGTTCATTGACCCGGTTCAACAATGGTTGTTGATGTGGGGGTTCTGGAATGGGTTCATTTAAATCCTGCATTAGACCTTGTAGGTCCTCTTCACCCCAATGAAGTGAGCTTTCCTCAACATTTTGAAGGTCATCATCTTCCTCACAGGATTCAGGGTTGGGTTCATCCTCTGGTTCACTTTCTGAGATCTCATAGAAGGAATGCCCCTGTAAAATTTAAAAGCATTTTTTTTAATATCAATTAATACATCACTGTAGAAAAATTGGTAGCCAAGGGTTCATAATATGGCACTTATTAAATGGCCTTTGGCTGGTTTAATTTACAGAAAGTTCCTGACCAGTGAATATAGACACCTTATTACAGACAAAGCTTTTGGTCCCTAAGGTATCTGTATTAAACAGGTTTATTCTGGTAATGTCAATGTTTTCATGTCTAAATTTAAAGTAACCTGGGATGGTGGGGGAAAATTCCCAACCCCAGCCCACACTTAGTGACAGCCCTGATAGTACAGTAGATTATGTTTCATAATTTCTCATGCAATTTCTGGGCAAAAAAAAAGCCAGTAAATTAAGTCACAAAAAGGACGTAGATGGCAATTCCGCACCAAAGAAGGAAAATCAGGCATTATTTTTGACCTACTTTCCCTGTATTAATAAATAAAGTAGCTTAACACAAATGTTCAAACAATTAGTGTACCTCATTGCTATCATTACAATCTGTTTCATCAATGAAGTCTGGTTCCAAAAAGTCAGGACTTGCAATATCTTCAACGTTCCCTGTTTCACCTTAAAGATAAAAGACCGTGGCAACCTTGGGTTCTTGAGAAAGGGATGATCGATCGCTTTTGGAATTAACTCATAACTTACATCTCATGTGTTCTATGTCATTTGTATGGTTTATATAACAGTACAGACGCTTGGCAAAATGAAAACAAATGCACTTCTGAAACTTCTTAGTCTATGACCAGTGTTCATAATAATTTTGCAGGTTTGCTACCACCAACGAATGTAACTTGATTCCCATAGTAAAAGACAATAACAGAAAATTTTACCTTCGGTTTCACACTGAGAAGTATTCAACAGCCTAAGTATTCTTCTTCATCAACATTAACTCCATCGGAGATCCAAAGTTTTCGACGGCGTTTTCGTGATTGTGAAGCGCATTGCGTTCTTGTATGTCGTCGGTAAGAAGAGGAATGTACAAAAGACTTTCCATAAGTGTCGCATCTATTGCTGAACAGGGAAACCGGGGTTTCTGAGCATGAAGTGAACAGCTCTGAACTGCAAACGTCACCAGAGATCTCTAACTGAACGTTGAAAAGCGCGCGTTTGTATCGAGGACGCGGTATGTCTCGTCCCCAGAGTGGGGCCGAGATCCTTATGCGCATGACAAATACTGTATGAACGCCAATCAAATGTCCAAAACTATATTCGCGGGATGTTTGATCTTTCACTGTCGTTCGTTCACTCGGTCGAGTTTCGTTTCGTTGCGGGCACGTGTTTGGATTCTTCCTTGATCGGATGATGGCTGCAAACGATCCAGATCAAGAGAGACAGCTTGTTCTTATGGGAAGAATGAGTAGAAGGATTGATTCGATTCTCGAAGAACAGAATAAACTAGAAGATACGAATGCAGTCCTTCAGCAAGAAAATGCAAAGCTGAAGAACCAACTTGCGAGTCTGGAAGGGCAGGCAAAGAAGAAAGGCAACAAACGTTCTAAAAGCTCTCGCAGAGAATCAAATGTTGTGATTCCAAATGACTTAAGGGTAAATATTCTTTTATTACTTTAAGGATATAAATTTTTCAACTTTAGTACCGTTAAGTTGTGCTTCAGATTTTCAGTTGCGGTGCATCAGAAGCATAAAACGTGTCTTCAGAGACACCGCCATTCCGGCCATCACGCGTGTTCAGACACTTTAGCTTTAGAAGTGTGGAAAGATCACTATTAAGCTTCTAAATCGTGAAACAGACACAAGCATAAGAAAACCTGTATGTTACCAGTGTGAAGAAAGCATGCATGTTCTTCTTCACCAGTGGGAAATGGTGCTACAAAAACCCAAAGCTTTATAACTTAAAGCACAATATGCGTAGATGTTGGTTCTAGTGCTTATCACAAAGTTGGAATATCCTTGTGCTGAATTCTTGTGCCTATTTTGCAAGCATTTAGCAAAAATACTGTTTACCCAGTTTAAAATTCCACTGTGTACTGTTTACCCAAAAACCCTGCTGACCCTGATTAAAGAAATAAACAAGCTTGTGGTTTGAAGTGACTTTCGACATATGATCTTCTTCCATATTATCTTCCAGAAACGGTTTCGGTTCATCTACAAAAAGATGGTAGAAAAAAAAGTGATACAAGGTTTCATCATTGATGAGGAGTATGTTCTTTTTTTACCATACATAAGATGATGTGTTTAAATAGCAAGGCACTAAGAGAGATGGCATGCAAGATATTAGAATTAAAACTTTACCACCAAGAACTAAATCTCTCTCTGACCAGCTTCTTCTAAGGGACTGTTAGTTATCTGTTGTGAGGCCAGTGTTTAGAGTCTGGGGCCAGGGTAAAATATTCAAATTGGGAGTAGGAGGGGTTAAACTTTTAGAATCTGTTATTTCAACTATTATGTTGCTGATAGATTAATACATGTAAATTGTTGTTTTGAGAAATCTATTCCCTCCAAGCACCAGAAGTCCTAATGTCAGTTTGAGGGTGTACAAAGCATGTAGCTTCTGCACTGTATCAGCAGTGATTAGAAAATTGTCCCTCTTGTATAACTGCTTTACTTGAATTATTATTTCCTTTTTTGGCTGAATAATAATAATAATATTATTATAACTGCCTCTGGCTATTGTTTAAAACAAAAATAATATTCTCATTTTTATTTCAGTCCACAGTCAGAGAGAAACCAGAGTATTTTTACAAAAGTGAAAGAAGTATTGAAAAAAGAGCATGGAGGAGAAAGCTGCCTATGGACTGACTTACAAATGGAAGGTATGACATTACAGGAATCAAGTTTTAATGTTGTGTGCAAGTTAGAACAAGAAGCATTTACCTTGTGCAAAATCAAACAGATTTTCTGCAATAAGTTGGACGGAAAACTTAACAACTGAGAGGGAAAACACAATATTACTAGCATTAATTCTTTTAAATAATATATATCCATAAGCTGATGTTACATATACACATAGACTTGTCATTGTATTGTAATTTTAGGATATCATGCAGTGATAATAATTATTGTTTTTAACTCAACAGCTCAGTTCTATCGGTACTTCAAAACAACTAAAGAAAGAGAGCAGAGGATAAGAAAAGGGAAAAATGAAGAGCATAAAGAAAGGTGCAAAAGGAGCAGGCGTTTGCTAAATGTAAGGACTAGCTAAGTTGTCTTGCTTCTGCCATGCTAAACTTATATTCAAGAATAAATTTTCAAGATAGTGTGGCTGAAGCATGGCTTCTGAATCAAATGTTTCAATTCAGTTTGACAACAAGTGTTGTTCAATACTATGGCAAATTTGTGCATGGCATTGTACCAACATAATAATAGTTTGAAAACACAATACAATGTGGGATAATATACAGCAACAAAAAATGAAACAATGCCATGCGCAAATTTGTCATACACTGTATGTTGGACTGGTATGTTTACAACTGGTGTACAAATACACATTAATTAGGAAAGTCAACCTTGCTGGTAGTTAACCAAATAATATGGGTTTGCTTTAATTTAGTACTGTTTTGTAGCATGAATTTTTTTCTGGGAGTCCTATTTATTGCTGATTGTTATTTTCATATTTTATTTCTTTTGTGGGATATCATTTTGAGTTAGAAAAGTATTTCTATTTGACAATAAATTATATGTTTTCTAGATATAATTTGGTCTAGTCATTAACTAAATAATGACTGAATTGTTGCTTTTTGTTCCATTAGAAACTGGAAAGGTGTCAGTCATCCTATGAGATGCTACAAGCTTCTATGACACCAAAAGAAAAACAGTATTATAGTGAAATCCTTTACATTGATTACATGAGCAGCAAAGAATCAGATTATGAGGAGCAAGAAGATTTCATTACTGGTGAAAAAGAAAAGAAACTGGCAAGATATGTAACCAAGAAGCTATCTTGGGAAAGAACGAGCTTGACAAATGCAAAAGCCAGGCTAGACAGAACCTACAAAAATAATTTGACCCCCCATGCCAGGGCAATGGCTAAGCCAAGGAGTGTTGGTGGCATGTCGGAGAGGCCTGCACCTGCTGGCCCACTTTGGGCTGTCAGGCAGATAAACAATGAGTTGTGATTGAAAAAATACTTAACACTTTTTCTACTTTTTATTCATTTATTTATCATGTATTTAATGGCAAACTGGAGTAATTGTTTTGTTAGAACAAATTATTGTCATCTAGATCACAGGGATAGTTTCTTCCAGGTATTGTTAAATTTATTGACTTATGATGGGGAAAATTTGTTCCTGTCAAGCATAAATAAGCTAGGTATGTGTGACATTTTAACCCTTTAACTCCCAAGATCTGATTGGTAATTATCCTCTCTAGCTGTTACATATTTCCCTGTAACTTAGTTATGAGAATCTGGTGTTAGATCAAGACAAAGACCTATACCTGATAAGTTCAAGAATTCTCATTATCTCTTTGCTGGATAAGGTATGGATATTTTAGGGAGAAGTTACTTGTTAATCACTCCTGGGAGTTAAAGGGTTAATTACAAATAGGCAGTAACTTTAAGAATGTGTACCAGTGAATTTAAAATAAAAGAAACTTGAAACATATATTGTTTAGTGTGATACGTGACCTGGTGGGTGGCAGTTTAGTAATGAAACAACAAAACAATAATATTTCACTGATTTCACAAATTTGATTCAAAACCAAAATAAGCAACAAATTGTGAGCAGATTAATTTGCATTAAATGGTACTTTGACAACATTAAATGTTTAAGTTCTGTCTACTTCAATAAAACAGTACTTAAACATACAGGAATGTTTTGGACACATTTAATGTGAACTTAAACCTACATTAAGTGTTAGCCTTAAGATAGTATAAGCCAGGTTTAAGTCCAACTTAAATCTAGGTATAAGTGACTTAAACATCAACTTAAACTTATTAAACCTGAGTTAAGACAGGATTAATCCATGTTTAAGGACACCTAAATATATCTTTTCTCCATGTGATTGTATGTGGAACGGTCACGTTATCTTGAGCTCTGCCCTTACTCCGTATTTATACCTCTGTTTTCTGATCTGCGGGTACTCAAACTGCATCAACAAACTAAGATAAATTCGAACATTGTTCTGAGCAAAGAAATTTTGAAAAATGGAGTTGCAAGCTCATTTGCATTGGGAACCCATATCAAACGACGAACATTTGTTTTTCTCGGTTCCAGGTGTACGCTACCAGTAACCCTAAGTAATGCGCATGCTCTCCGTTGCGAATATTCAAAATGGCGGACTTAACATACACCCCCGTTAGAAAGGCGAATCCACGATAGAAAGATACATGTGATTTGTGGATCTGAAGAAATCTTTAGAAGCTCTACTATTGTATTTTTCCCAAGCCTTGCTGTGTGTAATATGCTATGTTCTGATAAAGTTACAGGAACTCAGGAACATGATAACATAGTGCATGCATGTAGGGAGTGACATCTTTTGCTTGGTAAACTTTGAGAAAGTGCTCAAACCATGATTTGATATTTCTTTGCAGTTCAAGAATACCTTCTTCAGATGTAAAATCTAGCTTCAAATCACCAATTATGTCCATAAATTTAGCACAGATCACTTGTATGTCTTTGTTTTGACTGCAATGAGGGACAAGCATAGGTCGGAATGTTTATATTCTGGAAGAGTTTCAACTTTTCTGGTTCAGTAAGATCTCTATTTTCCAGCTTTTTGCTCTCTTTGTTGATTCTAAAATTAAAAGTGATTCCCATACTTTTGATAAATTCTTCATAACATGCCATGTGTTTATATTTATCCCTTGGGAATCCATCAGAGGTTTTTTTTTTCTCAATAGCATCACTTCTTCTCAGCTCTCTTATGAACAAGTCAATCAAAATATCTGAAATCCTCAGAAAAAAATGTAACATATCTATGATGACATGGTCCATAGATATAAAATCAAATAATGGTTGCGCCTTACAGTTTAATTTCTTTCCAGTGGAAAACCTTGCTATTTCGGTGACAGTTTTAGCACCAAATTTGGGGTCATTAATTGACCATGTTTTGCTTGTGTCCCACTGTTGCTTCCTGGGACACTTGCACCACACACAAGCATAATCCTCATTTGCCCTGCCTAAACCACATACCAGTGCTAAAAATTTCAAATCTCCATCTAAAAAGTATTCAATTTTATAGGTGCAATTATTTGCACTTATCTCCTTTAAGTTTGACATTTCCATTTGAAGGTCTGCTAGGCTGTCTCTCAGATTATCATATGTCTCTGTAGTTTTTATAACAGCAAGTATATAATTTCCCTTCACATCCATTGCCACATCCTTTTCATGGAGAATAGTAAAAGTGAAGTTGACAACTGTAAGCCCCTTTCCAATATTTGTAGCATCACCACTAAGCTTGATCTTAATAGTTTCTCCATCATTGATTTCTCCATTCTTCTGAAGCCTAACAGTGTGCTCTTGCAAGCTTTCTGCAAATCCTAACTGAACACCTTCAGCATCTCCTGGTGTTGGTTTCAAGTTCCATTTACTGTTTAGCTCATTAATTTGCTTCTTGATGGAATATATATTGGGGAGATCATTAGCCTTAATGGCAATTTCATGCCAGGCCTCATTTGAAATAATGAATTTATCTTTGAGGTAGAGCCACATATTTATGTTATCAATGTCATCATTATTAAGGGCCTTTGGGTCAGACTCTGTAAATGGCAGCCCTCCCTCTCCAACAAGATTGAAAGTTTCATATTGATTAGTCTCAGTGTTGAGGGCTTCAATTTTGGTTGCAACAAAATTGTACAGCCCAAGAAAGGAGAGTGTAGTTTGGCAACTACTACTCTTTTGATGGTGCTTGGAATAGTCATTAAACTTCTTCTTAGCTGGGCCTCTACCTTTTTTCCCATTTGTAATCACTTTTTGGCCAACTGAATAAATTTGTTATTGTAGAAGGCCCCTTTCTTCTCAGCTTTCTCGAGAGCTTCTCGGGATTTTTTATCCACTCGCAATCGCTTTGCCTTCTCCTGTACCAACGATTCTTCTAATTTTATTTTTTCTCCCCTCAACTGGCTGTCCTCATCTTTAAGCTGATGTACATCAACCTCGTTGAAATATACCTTAAATCGATACCGAGGGCCCGTTTCCAAATTGCTAAGAAGTGCATTTAATTGCCACGATTACTAGCTTTCTTGACAGCTTTCTGAAAACAGAATATTTTCTTTCTGAGGACTTCTGATATATGGCTATTGATTATTATACCTCGTATACCTGATTGCTCAAACACTTTGTTTACAATTATTGAAAGGACCGAGTCATGGTTTTCTCTGAAAACTTCTTTGCTTTGAAATAGTATAGATTAGTAAGCTGAAACGAAAAATTAATCAGGGAAGTTTACGAAAAATCCAGCGAACAAGCTTAAAAAAGGCATTTATTTAGACTTCATACTGCGATGAACTTCACAAATCTTACTTGTTTATCTCGTAAGTAAACAATGGCAGATTAATTCCCGAAGTGCTTTCTGAGTTTCCCGATCCCCCTCCTACTGCTTTCACTCTCACAAAACAGGAAAAAATCAAAAGGAGGAAGATACAGCTGTTTTGAAACGCCATTTGACGAGGGTAAATCTGCTTTTTGTTCGACACTTTACATATCAAAACAAAGGAAATTTGTTCCTCTTTTTTATTCTGGCGGTATATTTTTAAATCGCGCTTGCGTAAAAGGGATATCGCCCGAGACGCTTCGCTCGGTTGTGTTTTGAACAAAAACGCCTTGTTAATTTCACGCAACCGCTCGGATAAAAGGTTAAAATGACGAGGGAAAAACTTTACCTTCAAGTTAGAAAATTAGCGAAATAGGAAGCCACAATATTGTAGTTTAATATTTCAGAGGTAAAATGAGTGCTTTTTCCGTAGAGAATCTGCACGATGGTAATGTTCGAAATGATGGTGATGATGGTGATGTTCGAAAATTACACTCGATTTGAGTGGGGCGTTGAAGTGGGCGTGGTCACTATATTCATGTTAAGACTATTTGTAGCCCGTGAGTTTGATATGTAAGTTTAATGCAACTACAGTTAAGATTATGAGACCATTTATAGATATTTACAAAATCGTTATACTTGTTGCAGGATGCTTTTTACGTTTACTTCTATATTGCATAATTTTCTTGAGTCAAGCGGGACCCACAATGAATATGACAACGATGATACGTACCGCTGAATAGCTCATTCAGTCAGAACTTCACTGAAAATGAAAATTTTCCTTCTCCATGCTTATTCCTGTTATTTTTCCCGCTTTTAATTCCTCGATGAGAAAACTTGAGGCTCTACTGTCAAGGTTGGACATTCTCTAACTCACTACATCGTTATCAGTGCCACTGACGGGAGGCTCGCACGATCTTTCTCTGTCAGTCCCTCCATTCTAGGGAATCTGGAGTTTATTAAAAAAGTACAAAGATCGTTAGATAAGATGGAGCTTCTATGGAATTTAATGAAAATAAAATAAAAAAATTGGTGTGTATGTTTGCAAGCAACTAACATAACATGCTTCCTCACTTTGAATGCCAGGTAAGCAAATAAATTTGTTTTCGAAATGATCTAAACGGCGTTTGTTGATCATCTATATACAAATTAAAGTGAGCTACTGCCAGAAGAAAATTGCACACCTCGTTGGAAAGGTATAAAGATACTAAATGAGTCCTTTGTGTCAGAGGGCTTTCAGTTAAAAGTGAGTCAGTGTTACCTGGCTGAGAGATTATTACAAGGTCCGACACTTACCAGGTATATATGTGTAAAGACTGCTACCGCCATTACTATTATCATCATCTTCCACGTGATCATCGTCATCATTACCATCTTCATCCTCATCACCGCCATCGGCATCATCATCATCGTCATCGTCATCATCATCACCGCCATCGGCATCATCCTCATCCTCATCATGGTCATCCTCTTCATCATCGTCGTCAACATCATCATCGTCATTGTTGTCGTCACCACCACTATCATTGCTATCGTCGTCAATATCATCATCATCATCACTACTGTCACCGTCGGCACTATCACCCCCGCCACCATCATGACCGTCGCGAACGATCACTATTATTGCTACCATCAACCTATCATT